GTTTTCAGGGTTGTAATAACAAGAATTTGTAAAAAAAAATGATCTGTTGAAATTATATATGATAGTCCTGTTTTATAGGGTATCACCGATAGATGCAGTACAGTATATAGAAATAAAATTCAAAATGACATTGGTACGAGAGCACTGGTTTTTATTGTTTACGTAAACATTCAGTTAGCATATCCATGTTTTTTTTTACAATGATGTGATAATCCCCAAAAGGCTTTCATCTTAGTGTCCATATGTATATTGTGTTAATTTAATGAAAAGACAATACATACTTGCAATTCTTATTTTAACTAAAATTTTAGATTTTGACATCTGTGTTGATTTTCTTAATGTTAAGTGTAATTGGTTAACCCTATGTGCACACTACTTGAAACTGGGATTCAATAGTTTCCAAAAATGCATTTAAAACATACAGTATTTAGTTTCAAGCCTTGGTGTACAAGCTTGTAGATAATACCCTTACTTGTTAATACACCTGTTACATAACCTAAACAGTAGGGTACTCTAGTAAAGCTTCATATAAGTATACACAACCTTTTTATTATACCTTATACAGTATTTTAGAATATATGAGAAGCGGATTTTTTTAGTACATAAATGTACTGCCGAAGCAAGTAGTACATAGTTTACGTTAAAGAATAATAGAGGCTGGTCAATTTTTTTTACATAGATATGATGAAGTATAGTCGCGGACAAAGGTACAGTAATCATCGACCCCTCTTACTATTATACCGCTGAGCTCAAGGCCTTTCTACACAACTGGTCACAAGAGGGTTGGGGTGGCAGACCTGGGTAGGATAGGAGAGTGCGAGTCAAGGGCCACAATACTTGCTGAGAGTGTATGTGGTATTAGAATTGTCCTTAACACCTGAACATGTTAAGTTTGGTGGATGTAGCTTGACATTCACAGCCTTAATGACCCTAGCAGTTGATAGGCCTAAAACCCAAACAACCAACCAACCAGGAGGGCGGGTGTCCAGGGAGGTTAGGTGTCATGTGGACTTAACTCTCCTTTAGTTATCTATGCCTTTACTTAGGCTTTTGGCAGGTAATGTGTCATTAGGGTTGATACGGCATCTGCCTTCTGTGAAGGAAAGCCCCTGATATGACACCATAAGAAAGTAGGGGGGCTTGGCTTGCTCACCACCAGTAACACTAAAGTAGGTTGTTACCTCTTGCCACTACCATTCGTGAAAAAAAAAATTACTTTTATTTGATAGAAAAAGAATAAAAATTAAATGTTGAATAGAATGTGACTTGTCTACCCTGTAATATGTTTATTAAAGTATTAGAGTTGTAAAATTCAATGTGAGGTGGTTGAGGCAATAGTGTTTGACCACTACTACACACCCAGCCCAGGATGGACACTACAGAATGTCGATTGGCGACTCACGGGCAAATTACTGGTTTCATGCTGCTCGTTACCTCGTGTCAGAAATTGCAAAGGTAGTTGGTGTCACCTGGCAGACTGTGAAAGATTGGTTAACCTACTGGAAGGAGTCTGGGAACTTGGCAAACTGGCCACAGTTAGTAATATTCATGGTTTGCTGGCATCTGATATATTAAAATAACTAATTTTGGGTGTGTAATAGAAACAAATCATATTTGAAGTCTTAATTCTGTATAAATTATATAATTTTAGGTCGGGGAGCCCATGATTGACAAGTGAGGAGGACAACGCTCAAATTCTAGCAAAGGCCGAACATCACCCGTTCATGAATGCTGTAGCTGTGAGGGAACTGCTCCACCTGGGCGTGTCTGTCAGGACAATCTGGCGGCATCTACACGAGGCAGGTGTCCACCACTATGTCCCAGCTCAGAGAGACAAGCTGCACGAGAGACATGTGATGAAACACCTTGTGATTGCCAACGAATATATCAAGAAAATTTAGGATTATTGGTCTAGAGTTATTTTTGGGGGAAGAAAAATCTTTTTCATCAACAAATTACAAGGCCCATCACTGCTGGTACACCAATAACTGCTGCTACAAGCGTCAAAATATTTACCACAGAGGCCAGGAGTGGGAGAACAACTATAAATGTGTGGGATTGGGTGAACCTCAACACTTTGGAGGAGTTGGGAGTTGGGAGTTGGCAGACACAAATGGTTGGTTCACCTCCAACGTTTACCTCCAGCTCCTGGAAAAGGTGATGCTGCCCACCATCCACACCTACAGTACACACCCCCCTATCCAGAAAAAAATAACCTACGTATATGCAAGTAAGAAATTTATTTTCATATACAATACAGTATATTATTTTTCAAAGCCGCGAATTTCACATGTATGAAGCCGCCATTTCATGATATTGTAAACATTGTTAACAAATCGTGTTTGGTGAATATTTTTCATCTCTTAGGATAACTGCCCTGTTCACACGGCAAGAGTGGTGAAGTGCTGGTTCAAGGAAAAGTTGAACGAAATTGAGCTTTTGGACTGGCCAGTCAAATCTCCAGGTTTGTATTCATTAAGTTTCTTTCAGTTTCTTTCACTACAACCATTTAGACCTGTGAAGATCAAATTAATTCATATAAACTTTTCCTTTACCCAATGGAATACAGTTATTATGTTGTATTTTTAATGAAACATTTAATATCACAAAAATATAAAATTGTATAGGGCTATTACTTGTGTTAAAAGATTATTATAAATGTTTGTGAATACAGTAGAGCGTTGATTTAAAGCGATTCAGTTTAAGATTATTGATTTAAAGTGACACCCACAATTAAGGACAATGTTTTAATTTAAAGGGAATCTTTCCTATTTTGCACGAGTCAATCTGGTGCATCATATTTTAAAATTCGCGCCTAATGTTTCTCTGGGCACGCTACACTGTCCTAAGCCAAAGCTAGCATGATTATATTCAAATTAATCACTATCTTACAAGAATTCCAGCAATGTAAATTATATTCTCCCTGGTCACATCTGTGATATTTTATAAACAAAAAACAAAATCAATCTAAAGGACATAAATAAACAAACAAATACTTCACTAGACCTTCGGTGCAACTGTCAAACATGTCACCTCCCATTCCTCCCTTTCCCCAATCTTCCCAGCCAGGGTTTGGTGGTTTTATGCTTTAAGTTTTCATCTTATACAATATCACAGAGTAAAGTTAGGAGAATATAATTTGCATTGCTAGAATCCTTGCAAGATAGCGAATAATTTGAATATAAACGTCATATATTTTGCACAAGAGATAAAAATTTTAGCACTTTGTAATAAAACTAATTAGAACATGTCAGTTCAGTGACATTTTATAAGAGAAAAACTTAAAGTCACTCTTAAGGACAGATAAATAAATAAGCACTAGACCTTGGCATCAACTGTCAAACATACCACCTCACCCCCCCCCCCTCTTCCCATCAGCTGATCGCTAGTAAACAGACCATTTCACGTCCCATAATTTTAGCTGTGTTGATTTATGAGTGTATGCTTTAACATTATACTAAAAACAAAAACAAAAATTATTCTAGGAGATGGGCTGAGGTGCATCTGGGTAGACTCTCAGTCTTTTTAGTATTTTGTGTTTCTCTCAAGTATCAAACTAAATTATTCCATTGAAACAACACTTCGATTTAGTGCGAATTCGGTTTAAAGCGACCTCTCTTGGAACCTATCTCATGTTATATCAATGTTCTACTGTACCCCTAGACCTCAACCCTATAAAAACCATTTGGGCCCAGATAGTGAATGCGTGGGAGCCTGAAGACATCCGCACAACAACCCAGCTATTCCAACACACCTGGGACGAGTGGGAACAATATCTGGGGCCCCAACCTTGTGTCCTCAGTCCCAAGAAGGCTCCAGGAGGTTATGAAAAAGGGAGGCCATTGGACAGGTAATTGAGATTTTGTATGACCTGTGTTGGTAAATATTAGAATTAAATGTGATCTCCACCCTCATATTTTCAATACTTCTCATATTAATGTTATTACAGTACAAATATCTAAATACCATTGTTTAAAACCTAGACAATAACCTGAAAAAAAATTATAAATATGGAAATGGATGGCACATTATAATAATCATAAAATAAGGGTCTGCATCTATTACTCTATGAAGTATGCAAACCTAAGATAATACAGTGAAAAAAAAATTACAATCATCTTTCCTTTCTTCAATCCCTCCCTCTCTGATGAGGAACTTGCATCGCACCCCCCCCCCCATAAACGGCCCTCCCTAAAGACAACCATTCCCAGTCTCCACCCCATGTAACTTACCATCCAGAAAGGACCCAGCCAGGTGCAGGGATTAGGTGGTGGAGTCGATGATTACTTTTTGCAGCGACTGTACTGTACTGTACAACATGATACCCTGGCAATTCACTGACACCCTGGAATTACCCAAAATGTCTCAGGGTAGTTCTAAAGTTGCTGCCATTTTTGCGGCCAGGAGAGGGAGCCATTCGTTCTAGAGACAGTAATTTCTTTGACCTGTACTGTGTGTGTGTGTGTGTAGACACGCACACACAAAACACATACAAATAAATAATAATGGGAAAATCCTCTCACAAGTAATAAGAAACAAGACAACAATATTAAGAAAAAATGTGTCTACCCCCAAGTCAACGGAACATTTTTTTCTAAATTTTGTTGTCTTCTTACTGATTATTTGTGAGAGAATTTTCCTATTATTATTTATTTGTATGTGTTTTGTGTGTGTCAGCACACACACACACACACACACATACATACATACAGTATACTACATTACAGGTAAAAAAAAATAATTGTCCTAAGGGAAAACACATAAAGGAAATATACATTTCTTTGCACACAAGTAAAAATGTACCCCCCCCCACCCCCCCGGTCAGCAAATGTTATTTGCGGATTTGGCTATTCGCAGCCATTTTGAGAACCTAACTCCCGTGAATTTTAAGGGCATGCTGTACTTTGTATTGGCGTGCCAGATGAAGCATTTGAAAGACCTCAGAACACAAAAATATTTATAATAGGGAAACAGGCATGATGGAGAAACTATACAATATAGAAATTTCAAAATACTGTAATGTTTAATTGCATTTGCATATTCACATAACTACCAACTGTTCATATATACAGTACTGGGTATAAATAAGTTAATAATATTAATACAAACTATGAAAGACCATCCATGATACAATTTCTTTTGTTTATGTTCATAATATAAATTATTTAATTGTCAACCTTCAACTTGCTTGGCAGGGAGTGTGAAAATAAACCTGAGATCAGAGTCTTTTAGATGTCTATTTTCCCATTCTTCAAATGCTGCCACTTCTTCCTTATTAAGGTGTACTTCCCAGCTTCCCACTTGACCTGCACAAAATAACAATGGTGAACATTATAACATGTGCAATTTCCAAACTGGACAACTAAACTGTTAGCTATGTCATCAACTTTTGTTGAAATAAAAATATATATATACAGGGTGAGTCAAAAGTCTCCATACAAAGGCAAAATTATCACATTATTATACAATCACTTGTAAGTCACAAATTATGCTCTATGTGAGCACCATTACATTTCAGCAAGATGGGGCACCACCCCATTACAATATCCGTGTGCGCCAGTGGCTGGATCAGCAGTTTCTGGCTCACTGGATTGGCCGCCGTGGTCCCATGGAGTGGCCTCTGAGGTCCCCAGACCTCAACCTCCCTCCCCCTCCCTTGATTTTTACTTGTGGGGGCACTTGAAGGCCATGGTGTACCAGGTGAATATACAAAACACGGACCACCTAAAGGAACACATTCGTGATGCGTGTGTGCGCATAACACCAGACTTGTTAACGCATGTTCACCATGAGTGGGAGGAATGCATCCCTATGTGCATTCAGTGTAATGGTGCTCATATAGACCATATTTTGTGACTTACAAGTGATTGTATAATAAAGTGATCATATTGCCTATGTGTGGAGACATTTGACTCACCTTGTACTGTATATGTATAACTCATGTTATTTCATATTCCATGTTGTGTGTGTGTGTGTGTGTGTGTGTGTCACACCTGAATTCCACCAAAACAATATCTTGCCAACATTTAAAAAATATCTGCAATAACTAACTCCTTTCTGAAAAGATGGCCAAGACAAATGATTTCTCCATGCCATCCAAATTCTTCATACCGTATCTCATTAAAATCCTCTACTGTATTCTCTTCCAATTCTCTCCTTGATGTTTTATCTCACTTTACCCAACAAACCTTCAACATTATCTTTAAAAACTCTGTTTAGATTACTGTCCTCTCTGATATGCTTCTCACATGTCCATACTATTTTGGAGAACCCTCTTCACTTATTCTTTCAAACCACAGTTCACGACCTCAGCTCTTTGTCATTCCGAACATCAAATATTGTACACTTCACTTTTTCTCACCCATAAATGCAGATCTTACATAACTCATTCTCGGAGCTAACTAGAGTTAACACAGAACAAGCTATAAGAAAAATGTCTATACAAATAATGTTTCAATGTATCATCATTCTCCTACAATCATCATATAACTTACTCCTCAAACTCACTGAGGTACTTCTCTCCACCAGCAGTTACTCGGCCAGTTGCTTAACTGTCTAATTTCACGTCAAATATTCTCTTGTAATAGGTGGTAAATTATGTACAGTAAACCCTCAATAACTCAGAATTTCACATAACTCAGCCGAGATATATAAAATTATCTGTGCCTCTGTGTCACCTACCATACCTCTGTGTCTCCTACCATGCATCTGTGTCACCTACTGTACTGGTAAGTGTTACATTTTTACATTTAGTAATTACATGTACACATACAGCATATGAGTTAATAATTTTTTATCGTTGTCTTTTTTGTAGGAGGGGGAAAGTGCCTCAATAAGTTGGAATTTGGGATAACTCGGCAAAGCCAGAGTCCAATATGTGCCTAGTTATCGAGGATTTATTGTACTTGTACATGTAAAGTAAATTTATTCTGTATTCTTAAATTTCATATGCTAATTATGTACAATAAAGGTGTAGAGTTGTACTGTACTACATGTATCTCACAGATGATGCTTATTACTAGGTTATAATCATTTTGTACACCTAAAATTGTCAAACATATGTGATATTTTAAAATATTTTAGGATTTTTATTGATTTATTCCTTCTTTTTTTGCAGGAATATATCTCAGATTTTATAATGGGAGTCTATGAGAAAATATACTCCAATTTACAAAAGCTTTATCAGAAATGAAACCCTCTCGTAAATCAGGGAATGCCTGTTCTTACCTTTCCGCATGAATTGTCCTTTATCCTTATGGGCAAAACCAAGATCTTTCCAGTGTTCATAATTAACACTGGGATTTGCTGCCATAGCAGAAAAAGAGGTGCATGCTGCTATATAATTCACAGCATAATCACTTACTTCAACCTGAGGAGTGGGAAAAATTCTATATTGTAATGTCTAAATAACCATCCCCCATTATATATATTTTTTGAGAGCAAAGCACATATGAATTTTTTAATTAAAGTACTGTACATATTTAAAAATTCCTTTCTCATTTTCAGACATCAATATGAAGCACAGACATGAGAGGGAAGAGGAAGATGATAACAGAGGAAGTTCCCACCACCAGTCTCAGAGAGGTCACCATTGATATTCACCACTTCCAACCCCTTTACCAGAACCTTCAGTTGCTATTAATGAACTGCAAAAGAAGACCAAGATGACACAGCATAAGATTGGAGACTACTGTACTTCCCCAAGGTCCCCACTCCAGTACCCAGGTGTCCCAGTGCTGTCTCCTATGGCAGCTTGCCTAGTACCAGTGGTGACAGTGTTTCTGGTGCCAGCCCACAGCCTTGAACGTCAGAAATTGCATACCTACCACCTAATACCTCATCATCATTCTGTCCATGACCACGAACCAACACTTTGTCAGCAGTGGAAATCCTTCGTATCACTCCTGAGGTGCCCCTCTCCTTCATGGAGGGAAAGTACCAGCTGTCACATTAGATGGTACAGGACAAAACAGGCCATCCTGTATCATCCTATCACCATTTGGCCTGCCTTCATCACAAGCTCAAGATGACAGCATTTGCTGGTGAGTACATTATACACAGTAGTACAGTAGTAGTAGTATATTTTGTTTATTTACAATATACTGTACTATTGTTCATGTACAGTTGTGTTTGCATAAATAAATACAACTGTGTTTGTCCAACTACAGTTAAACCGCTCTGTACCCACTCTGTGATTTTTTCTGGGGGTGAAAATTTTTTTCTTCAGTACCCGGAAATATCTCAAACCAAGAACTGCTCTGCACCAATTATTCTGGCTAAAGGGGGGATTACTATACTGTACTGTATTTTGGTAGGCAATAATAAAATACAGAGCTATCTTTATTTTTTGGATTAGTTCCAAAGACATAAACTCAATCTGGATAACTTACTTCAAGAAATTCTGCAATTTTCTTTATAACTTTTATGGAGTCTTGATGCAGTTCTTCATAGGTTATGAACAAGATACTTGGGTCTTCCCGTGATTTCCAGTATCCAAGCACATGGTCAAAAAATGGACTGTACACAGCTGAAACATGTAAGACAAGACATCTTTAGTGTGCATACCTTTGGGACTGATAAAAAAAGTGACATAATATGGCTGCAATGGACTTTGGGAACAAAATCACAAAATGTTAATGAGAAGGGTCATATTAGGGGTTTAAAGTTGGTATGATTTACTGTACTTTTAAAACCTGTGTGTATATCCATGTACTTAAGACATTTATAGGTATTAGGCAGCTACCAAACAGGGAGGTACTACCACCTGGGAAGATATTGGAAGCATAATGTGTTGTCTAATGGTAGACCCTGCTGCCATATAGCATCACGAAAATTGTGAACAAGTCCCAGGTTGATGATCTGACTTTCTGCCTCATTTACACACAATTGCAGGATCTCAATTGTTTCTCTTACTATTGACAACACAACATACATACAGTATATTGTTCCTCACTTTTGATTTTTTTTTCATTTTGTATTTCTTTATTATTATTATTATTATTATTATTATTATTATTATTATTATTATTATTATTATTACTATTACTATTATTATTATTATACTATTATTACAGTACTATTATTACTATTATTATTATTATTATTATTATTATTATTATTATTATTATTATTATTATTACATTTTCACACCCCAGGCCCCGATGTGGGTCAGTGACCTTTGCCTGGGTGGGCTAATCCCTATATATATATATATATATATATATATATATATATATATATATATATATATATATATATATATATATATATATATATATATATATATATATATATATATATATATATATATATATACCATAAAAATTATGTCTGTTAAATTGTGAACCTCTGAAATATTTTACCCCTTAATCGAAACATATATTACCCATATCAGAGAGAAACATCTTGATAAAACTGGAGAGTGTTCCTTCATAGCTACACTGTGTCAAAAGCCGCAGGAAGTAGAAGTATGATACTGCAGTATCTCGTGGATTCCGGGCAATATATATCAGCTGAAAAGTAATGAGAAGAACTAGTAAATGATGTTACAATTAAAATATGCAAGTCAAAATATGTAACTAAAAATAATAATACAGTAGATCAAATTACCAAATACAACATACAGTACATCTTGTTTGCAGATGAGATAATTTACCGTATTAGCCGGCATATAAGACGCACCACCGCATAAGACGCACCCCTATTTTATTGGATATTTTGTGGAATATTTTTTTTTAATACTTTTCATCATACAATTATTGAAAATGATTTTAAAGTGGTTTTGTAGGGGGAAAACATATGATTTTGTGCATGTAAATACAATATATACTGGAATCAAGTAGGAAATCATATACTGTATAGTAACATTATACTAACCCAACTCTACCTCTGATCAGAGCAGCTGTGTGGCTTGTTTATATTTTGGTCAAGAGAATTACCGACAGGATGTGACTCGTATTTTTGGCTGTGATGTTTTGTGTTGCCACGATCTGCCACCAGGATGTAGCACCATCGCAACTATTTTGGCGTCATCGACTTATTGCAAATGGCTGACTGGCGGAAGAACTTTCTGTTAACATTTCTTTAATCTTTCTAGGGGCATTTTTCATTTAGATAATGAACAAATGTTTCTTAAAGGCAATACAGTCATTAAATAATGTAAGACATGTATCTGGCGTGGGTTACGTATGCTGGGGAAGGAGGTACAGTGAGATGTTGTGAGCTTCCCTCTGCCATTAAGCCAATGGAAGCCATTATTTATGTCTTTGACAAATTTCTCGTAAGTTTGTGATAATAGCTTGTGATAATTTGGCTTTTTTTTCAGTATTTTATTATTTATAATATTATTAGTAACACAATTGTTGTGCTTAGTGGACTACTGCTCGTCCCAGACTCCCTAGCTAGGCACCTCCGCCAATGGCGCTTGGCCATCCCATCCGTAATACGGGCGCATTAGACGCAGGGTAATTTGTGACATTTAAAAAACACAGAAAAACGAGTCTTATACACCGGCAAATACAATAATTTATCTTTAATTCGTTAGTTGGTACGTTATGATGTGAGAGTGCAAATGTGAAAAATTATTTTATCTTCAGTCTGAATTTACTAATACAGTACTGTACAGGTGCTCCTCTACTTACGAACGACTAACGTTCCTGAGGCTTGTTTGTAAGTCCAACTTTACTCTTGTAGATACCAAACATATTGTAAAAAATGAAAAGATTATAGATATTTAGTACAGCTATACCCTTTAATACAGCCTTAAAACCTGGCTCACTCTTCTACTTTTTGGTAATGTTTGTTCTATCTGGAATTTTCTTCAAAATAATCCAGTCTCATCCATATTAAACACCTGTTCTGGCAGGTATCCCCCCCTCAGTGATGATGTTTGTATCTCTGAAAGTTTGTAAGTTGAACGTTCTTAAGTAAAGGAGCAGCTGTACTGTAGTTTTTTGTAATAATCAAAATCTAGATTCTCAAACATTCATAGTACAGATTGGACAACAGTAATCCAGGACCGATAGTCTGGCAGCTTCGATGGTTCAGGATGCAAATAATGAATACGTAATCTTATGGGGAAAATGAGGATAATGTTCCACAACTACTAAAAGTCAACAGTAATGCTATAAAAGTTGTGGAAAAATCATTACAATTATCACAACCTGTACTCAAATGTACTACATTAATTACTAAAAATTTTATGTCGAGTACAAACTATGGGATGTTTGTACTCAAATTAATTGCCATCGTGCAAGAATTCCAGCAATGAAAGTTTTATTCTGCTAAGTTAAGTCGGTGACATTTTATAAGTGAAAAACAAACTCCCTGTATTTTATCCCACATCCCTCCTGACCTCTCAACTAATAACTATGCACCCATCCTGGCTGTCAATGCCCAACCTCTCTCCCCTCACCCCTCCTAGTCAGCAGAGGAGGCAGATGAAGGTGGGTGGAAAAGATTTATGGGTTGAAAGTGATTTTAGGCTTAAAGTTTTTCTCTTATAAAATGTTACAGACTTGACTTAGCAGAATATAACTTGCATTGCTGGAATTCTTGCACGATGGCGATTAATTTAAGTACACACATCTCATAGTTTGCACAAGAGATAAAAATTTTAGTCTTTAGCTTAGTACAGTACTGTACTGTACATTTGAGCATAAATTGAGTACAGTTGGGTCTTCATTTACGCGGTCAATTGAACCCGTGGAGTACCGCGTAAAACGAGAAACGCATAAATGAAATAACAGAACATATGGGATTAATTGAAATAGAGACTGGGCTGACCCCCAAACTCCACTTTTTCCGACACAATACGTACCTTGTAGTCAAAATAACATCTTAATTTTATGATGGTATGCACAAACAATTAATAATTAAGAGAAATATCAATAATATTAAGTTTTATAACACTTACGTTAATAGAAAAGATGGCTGGGCACACGGGGATGGGAGGTTGGTTCCGAGGCAGAGGGCAGATTATTGGCCCTCACCTGTATCGCTTGTATCAATTGTATCACTATCCACCACATAGGCTTGCAGGGCTTCTTTGTCAAACCCCTCAAAGTCCATATCCTCACTATCACTGACTTGGGCCGGCTGTGGTGGGTGGCGGATGAAGAACTCGGTAATGTTTTGATGACTGGGCGACCTTGTGCGCACGCTTCTCGCGTAAATGACCAAATTTACCGCGTAATTAAAGCATTTTAATTCTAGCAAGGCACTGCGTAAATGACCAAACGCGTAAACAAAAACCGCGTAAATCCAGACTCAACTGTACAATACAGTAATATGTTGCTCAAAATAATGGCTTTTTCACAGGGAAAAGTCTGTATAACTAACCCCAGTGGTCAGGATATTATGACAGTGAATGCTACAGAGTAGTTCAAATAAATTCTTTGTTTACTTCTGTACATACAGAGTATATGCGAATTCCCATATAGTGAATGGCCTAAAGCGAGGGTGCAGTGTACAGTAAACATGTGCTATAGCACTAACACTCTGTCATAAAGAGGTCCAGTAAGCCTGGGCTATATGTATACTAATGTAAGTTGTATTGGTACCAGTAATAGTGCAGTTATGCATTATTTTGCCTTTTTTTTAACCTCAGCTTCAATGGTTCATTATTTTCGCTAATCCGGAACCGGTCTGGTCCCAAGCTTCCCGGATTAGCGAGGTCCAACCTGTACAGTATATAAATTACTGACCTCATACTAGGAGAACAAGAGTGCATCTAATATCACTTTTGATATGGTCTTTATACACATTCACTGTCATAGTTAGCCAGTTAGATGTATATTCTTACATCCTTAATTAAGGAGAAAATGATATTGTACATGATAACCTAACAATCAAGGTTCATAAATCTCACCTTAGCATTGCTGTTCTCAAACGACGATGGCAACAGAGTGATGGGCAAATGGGTTTTAACATAACGTGGCCCTGTTTTGGCTCCTATTGACTTTATTCCTGGATACGGATATTCAAGGTATGGAAATCTTGTTTCTAAAACTTCAGAGCTATCATCGCTCTTCTCCAAGCTGTGTGTCAGCATATATACAATCTCCTGCACCCAAGTTGTTCCTGTTAAACCAATATTAATTTTCAAAACACAGCCTTTTTAACTTTTAACTGAAAAGTATTACATTTCATAACTGTCATCACTGAGAATTAATTCCAAGTATTATGCCTCTATCTGTACAGTACCTCTTCATTATGCATATTTAGTTCCAGACTCCAGAAATTTTACAAAAAAACAATAAGCATGAAATTCCAATAGCCAGTTAAGTTGGGTTGAGTTATTTTAGGTGAGAATAAGTTGAATTATGCTTGGTTAGGTTAGGGACGCTAATAAACTCAACCAATTTTTATAATGAGACTCGGTCTGAATATTGCATCTGTAGAATCTTATTGCAAGGAGAGTTTTTTAAGCAGTGATTTAGGAGGATTCAGCAATAAAATTTCTAAATTATTTTAGTTCTGTAAAATATCTGGGTAACCTTAGGCTTGATTAAGAATCTTTCAGAACAATTATACCCACAGACAATTTTCTACATTACAGCTCCTTCCCGACTTACGACCTCCTCGACTTACGACCACCCGCACTTACGACCTACCTCAGTCGTACCCAAATTTTTTCAAATTACGTATTTTCGAGTCCCAACTTCTGTACACAGACAAAATTTTTGTTTGTAATTCACTTTAAAATGGCTGGCAAGCTTAAAAGTGAGAGTTTTGTGGTGCCGAGAAGAAAAAGAGACACCCATTTTAGATTTTCTATGTAATATTTAAGCATTTTCAACTTACAACCATTTCGACTTACGACCTGGATTTGGGTCCCTAACCCTGTCGTAAGTCGGGGAGGAGCTGTACTGTACTTGAAACTGCATACAGTATTCTCTTGGACTTATTAATACTGCACCACAGACTGTACGGTGCAGTACTTGTATGGGTAATCTGACCTCTACCCGCTAGAAAAAGCTGCTTCCACTATGAATTTGGCCAGGGCTTTCATTTTACATCTTCTACCTTGTACAGGTATGGTACCCCTCATGGAACTTGTACTTCAGGATTTATTGTTTGGTTCACCTTACCTTCCTTTTCACATACAGTATATACTGTACAATAAAAACGGTAAAAGAATTATCTATCCACACTGTGACGCAATATGACTCCACAGACAAAGGATTTTGACAACCCTACTGAGATAACATGAGTCATAATGATCATGTTGAAATTCGTCACACCCATCTGGACATTATTTTTCTACTGTGTATACACAGATTTATACTTCAAGAAAATTTTCATAAAATTTATGCTATGAGCTCTTTTGGGGGTCTTTTCATCATGATTTAAGTCTGACTGAGCATTTCTTTCTAACTGATTCCTGACCACCTCTTCTCAAATGTGGTTCCACTGAAATTCAAGCAAGATCATCACTGTACAATACGCCCGGATAATTCGCGGTCCTCTATTATTCGCGGATGACACCCTGGATGTACAAAAAGAATGTCTGTGGGTAATTTTAAAGTTGTTGCCATTTTTGCGGCCGGGACAGGGAGCCATTCGTTCTAGAAACAGGAATTTCCTTTACTTGTATCATATATATGTGTGTGTAGACACACACAGCACGGTACAGTATTTAACAAAATTTTAGTATGATTTATATTTAGAATTAAATTTTTTTTTTTATTATACATTATGTTGTACATGTTTATGGATAAGTTTTAACCTCTCAGTATAATGGAAGCAAATATGCTGTCTAATATTCTTTTGGAAATCACTTTTGTCATATTTTAGTGATTTTCACCCAAATTTTTAGTGAAAAATTAAATTATACTATAACTTATGATTTATTATACAATGTTCATGTTTCTGGATTAGTTCTGGCCCCTAATAAAGAAATTGGGAAAATACAGTATTATGCACTTTACACAAAAACACTTTAACCATTTTTTTTTTAAACATGAATTTCAAGTTCAGTACATAATTGGATTTCCAAGGGATTCAAATATCAGGTACGTATATAAACTTGATGGTTTGTTTATGAAGAAGCAATAAAAAAACTTCAAAAGAGCATTTTAATTTTTGGTGGGAAATTGAATTTTTAGCTAATACAGGCGTATTACGCTGTACTATATTGTACAGTACTGTACTCTTAAAAAATTATGATGTATTCGAAGGGTTAACAGAAACTAATTATTCCATATTCATATAGAAAAATTATTATGGAAAATTTATTGCTCCACTTATTGTTCAAAAAAGTCTGAATTCACCAGTACTGTAGTTATACTGTACTACGGTATATGCAAAGATTCATGAATCTTTGCATATCCGAAATATTTTTTACGGTACAGTACTACCCGGTACATAATATTCTTATTGAAGACACAAGATAAAAAAACACCAATGTACTTTACAATTCAAAATTGAGTTACTGTACATCAATGCCAAAAATCATTACATTTACTTGCCAGTTTTGGGGTAACTTGCAACAATAACATCCTCTGGTTTGAACTGAAAGTTTGGCAGCTCTTTGAATATGCCAGACATGACAATTTGACCTGGAAATACATAACCCTTGTATCTGAAAAAAGAGATAGAGTTATGTAAAATTCAGATATTAAGTTTGTCATGTTTCAATCTACTTTATACACTACCTGTATATACTGGATCAAGTTTCACACATGGTCAACACCTCAAGAATATTTCTCAATATCTCTACTACCTGTATTATAATACTGCTGATCATTATTTTTCATTCATAAAAAATGTCAAGTATGCTTTACAAGTACAGTACTATACTGTACTATAATGTTCATAGCATGATTTTTGTATCTTACCTATACATTGATACATTACACCCAAAGAGTGACTCATCAATAGGAAGCCTTGTAAAACCTTCTAAGAGATCTTTGAGTTTTGATCCCTTCTGCTTCTTCATGTACCATGCAAATGTTAAAGTTCCCGTGAAAAGAGAAACTGCAAACAGTCGCTTATATAAAAGGAATCTTCTCAGGGTAGGATCTTCAGTACTGCTGTTTAGAAAAACAAAAATTTAATAAATATTAATGAACTGTAGGCACAAAAATCTGAGTCTAACAAGACACAGACATGTGAATTTACCTTAATCCAACACATAGAGAAATGTGAAGCAACTCAAATGAAGAAATGAAGGAGTTGTATCAACCTAAATGAATTAAAGAGGTGTACATGGTATTTCAGTTTACAAATAATGCATTTAAGTCAAATAAAGACTTTACACCTTTATTGGCAAAGGCAATAAAAGCTACAGAGGTGAAACAATTTGACAGCCAGTTCAACAAAAGAAAACAGTGTACAGTATACCACAGAAGATGAGCAGTGGTGAATACCTGTATATTAAAAGAAATCGAATGTGGTTATACCTGTAATAAAAGAAAATAAAGTAAGTGCAATAAGAGAAAATGGAAAGCAGGTAGAGTTGATACAGTGCTATGAGAAAATGGAAGTGGCAAGAACATGAGGAAACAAATGCAGTTAGGCTAGGCTTAACTAAGATATTTGTACACAAGACAAAAGGTTCAGAGTTGGACATTTAGTTTTTTGGAAAGTTGAAAGGAAAAATTACCCGTTATGCAGTAATTTTACTGTTGGAGAAAGACAATTAAGAGATTCCGAGTACTATTAAGTGATAAATATCAGAGTTGGTTGGGACCCTTCTGATTTAACAAAGGAAACTTTCTTATAACAAGTGCCTCCCTCATAAAAAAACAAAAAAGGCCAAAGAATTCAGTAATCTACAGACACCAAAAATTCTCTTGCATCATCTGAAAAACAAAATAACTCCAACCTTCATACAGTCACCATGGTTGCTGTATATACTGAGCCTTGTTAAATTTTTACTGTGCACAGTCATATATTCTGACGAGTCATCATCCTGTTTTGTGGGCTATTGGGGGTCTTCCTTATCAAAGAATATCAACATTCTGAAGTGCACAGCCAATGTTTGTACATGTATTATATATTGTATAAACATGTATTGAACAACCAAACCAACAGACTTACCTGTTACTAAAGAGTCTATGTGACCCAATACCAATACGGAGTTGCGTTTCAGCCAAGGATGACTTTTGAACACATTGTCTCACAGAATATAGTCTTTCCACCCCATGAGGTCTTCCTGTGGTAGTCAGCATGGGAATCAACCGTTGCAGCATTTTATATCAAAGTAGTTTCTGTGAATAAACATACAGTGGTCTGATATTATACTATGCTTTAAATTAGACTGTTCATAAGTCCAATCTGGGAAATCTTGTAATTATACCGTACCATGCTTTTAGCCACTTTATTATAGTTCATAGCCCTACTCGTTATTAAATCTGGAAAATCTCAAAATTTCACTATGATCTTACTCTTCATGATAGTTCATAGGCCTACTGGCTTATCTTGGAAATCTTACAATGTTACTATGATTTTAGACATATCATTACAATACAACTACACTACTTTAAGCAATATTACTTTCATACATGATAAAATGGACAAACAATGAAATGTAACAAACAAAAGTAGGTAATTACATTCAGGAAACTTCCCGGTGGTGTGACAGGCAAATAGTCACACGGGAACCTGATAACCCACGCTAAGCATTTAAACAGTAGCGGGAACAGGCGTGCGTTCTGGTACGTCACCCGGGGCACGCTAGTCGGGCATTCTGGAACGTCACCCGGGGCATAAGTGTTAACTACAGAAACATTTAGATTAATTTAAGCTAGGCCTACTGCCCCCAGCTAGGGGTCAGGTAGAGGGTCCCGAAGCCCCGGCTAGGAGTTAGGTTAGGTTAGGTTAGGTTTTGTTAGGTCAGATGACTAGTTTTCGTTTTCACCCAAAACCCCAATTTCAAGCTCTCCCCAATTATTGATGGAGGGGGGGGCGAGCAATTTCCGCCCAAAAAAACCAGATTAGTTTAAAGCACACCAAAATACACTGGCAAAACATATTGGTCAACCCCTAGGGATTCATGTCCGAAAGTAAAAATTTACCGAAATTACACATGTAATACGAGAAGTTGTAGGGGATGGGGTTCACTACAATCCGTACGCTACAAAGTATCGTATTATTATTATTATTATACACGGAAATTAATTATTTTATCGTATTATTATTATTATTATACACGGAAATTAATTATTTAATAAAGAAAACGATTAAAACAATGGTAAACAAAGAAAATACAGAACAAATGAAGAATTATTGCTATACATGAATATTAATTGTTTAATAAAGAAAACGATTCAACATTGATAAATAAACGAAATACAGAAGTTCAGAACATGTGAAGATGATTGGCACCAGTGCATAAACCACCCAGCATCTAAGAACCATTTCGCTCTTCCCTCTTAACAGAAAAGCCTGAATGGTTGATTTGCAATTACAATTATATAGTGGCGAAGAGGATAAAGAAAAAGAAAAGAAAAATGTTAGTCTTCTGCCAAGCTTGCATGAGCAAATTTTAGTCTTTCACATATTATTTAAGTGAGATGATTGCAAGCGTTTATTTATTTATTTATTAATTTTCGTTTTAGTATTTAATAAATTGTTTAACTGAGATACTTGCATGAGTAATAACGTTTTTATTTTATTATTTTCGTCTTTAATAATTGTCTTCGTGCTTTTTTATTATTTTCTGCCCCCAAGCAACAGTTATTTTCGTGTATATATTGATGGGAATGAACGCGGTGACGAATCGGGTAAAACAGTGGTGACGAAATGGGCATAACGCGGAGTAAGCAACAACATCCAAGAAGTAGATACGATGGCAACAACCTTTAAGGAATCCAGGTAAAAAAGTCACAGGAAAAAAAGAAAAGTTAACTATCGGATTCTCACATTTTTTAAGGTTAATATGTCAACCTAACCTAACCTAGCCTTTATTACCGGCCACCATAAATTAATTGTGACTTTTTTTCGTGACTTTTTTTCTGTGACTTTTTTTCCTGTAACTTTATTACCGGCCACCCCTTTAAGGAAATAGCAAATTCAACAGGACTTGAGAAAAATGTGGATAAGACCAATACAATGATCAAGCGGTTAAAGAGTCGACCAGTGGTGAAGAGGATAAAAGTAAAGTAAGTCTTATGAACTGCTTCATATTTCTGTTTAATATTAACTACATTTACCATTTCACCTCATATCAATTTACAGAGTACTATCTTAAAAAATTATCGTTGATGGACTAGTTCCAGTCTCTCAGTTGGCTCGGCCATGTCAATATAGATTATTATTGTATATTCCATAGTTATTTTTTTTGCTAATTCCATTACCAATGTATTACTAACCTTGCAATGCGCTTAAAGACCTTCGTTGTTGAAGCGGAGTAATAACAACAGCTTACAGTACTTAGTAGCCATTCAGGCTTCAGACTGTTATGAACTTTACTGTGCCTTGTACAGTGCTCCTTGGTGCAGTATTAGCTAAGATACTATTTCAAGAAGTCTTTACATGTACTGTAGTATCTTTATACAGATACACTGTGGCCAGGCAAGAGTGTGGCGCAGGGAATAAGATGAGCCCAAGCCACTCACTGGTCGGGACGAAAGCAAAGTACTGTATTATAAATTCATGTTACAGTAGTTATTATTTTTTTTTAATTAACCAGACCTTCCTGGTTTCTGCCCAAACGAAATTTACCCTAAGGTGGTTGGGTTATTATATGAAAGAAGGTTGGTAAATACTGTACACACACACAACTTTTAAAACAATCACTCACTGTACAAAGAAGGAATTGACGCGCTGCTGTGATAAAACAGATGATCTGGATGTTAAAATGAGGTGAGAATTAAGTCACTCATGCATATACAGTATAGTAGAGTACTTGTATTTTATACATCATGAGATTTAGAGAGGATGACTGTCGGTAAATTTCTATAAGTGGGCAACAATGGATTTTTTGTTGAGCAATGGGTTTTTATGATTTTTTTGTGATTTGAACGAATTTGACCATGATTTTTGTCGCAAATTAGCCGTTTTTGAGTTATGCCCCCCCCCTTCCTTCCAATATGGGGGACCCGAGGGAATTCAGGGTTTTTGGGTGGGGGGAGCACACACGGCGAATTGGTGGCAAAAATCATGGGTTAAATTTCTTCTAATCACAACAAAAAACATGGGAAAACACATTGCTCAACAACCAAAACTAACCTAACCTAACAAACCTAACCTAACAACGTAATGTTTTCATAACCTAGCGTAACGTAGAAACCTGAGTGATGGTCGTGACTGATGCGGGAGATTTGTTGTACAGTATTGGAAAAAGTTATATTAACGGCTATTTTATTGCCGTTATTAAACATTTGCGAGCATATTATATAGAAAAAAAAGTTTAAAATGGTCAGTTACATTGATTGGTAAGAAAAAATTCATGAGGTTTGTTGGTTGTCTACTAGAAAAAAATACCCGTCTGCCTTACATTGCTGCCTCAAATTAATTGTTAAGTATTTTAGTTTTAGATTTTTTGCCACAATTTTTTAATTTTATTTTTGACAACAGAAAAAACTATATAAATCTAGTGTTTACAAATATTTTGGGGTAATATTATGGGACGTGGTTCCACATTAACAAGCAACTTTAGACAAAAATTCTATAGAAAACGGTAATTATTGATGACTGACACGCTCGCGATTTAGCATAATAACGATTATAAAAATGCCGTAATTTAACTGTTTTATTGTGGACACTCGTAGTATATATATATATATATATATATATATATATATATATATATATATATATATATATATATATATATATATATATATATATATATATATATATATATATATATATATATATATATATATATATATATATATATATGTATATAATATAATATATAATATTATATATATATATATATATATATATATATATATATATATATATATATATATATATATATATATATATATATATATATATATATATATATATATATATATATATATATATATATATATTTATTTATTTATTTATTTATTTAGTATTTTTTTTTAAATCCAACCCAACCTAACCTAACCTAACCTTGACATAAAATCTAGCTTAACTTAACACCTGCCGTGGGCAAACTTACTGTTACTGAAACGGAGAAGTGGCGAGACACGGCGTTGAGGAAGAGATGAAGGATTGTTCCGTAGTCTCGGTGAATGTGGCCACTTGTTTTTCTTATTCATTACTTTCTTGTTACACTGGAACAAATTACTCTTTGGTCGTAAAACACAGGGATTCCCGCAGTCTGGACAGTCTCTTTATGAAGGAAGGATGCTGTGATCTTTGAAAATTGCATCCATATAAGACCAGCGATACTCTTCACATGCCATGGTGAAAATGAAACTGGCGCGGGAAAGTGAGGCAAGCGCGGCAAGGAGCGCAGCAGCATGTTTTGAAATACTTCAATATAATTGACTGTTTACAAATGGGGATGAGACATCACCGCCGCATTACTGCCAAGAAAACAAAGCACTGCGCTCCTTAGGCGCCGAAATATCTACTAAACGAAGCATTTGCACAAGAAATGATTCATCATAACAGTATTCACTGATGAAAATAGAGTAAGACAATAAACACCAAAACAGATCACTCGTCGACATGTCAGTTGTCAATATTAACCGAAGTTAGCTTCTTTCCTCAAATATATCCCAAAACAGATGGAAGAAATGCAATTTTTGTATTTTTGTTTTCCCCTCCATCCACCCGAGGAAACCATATGTGTGTTTCACCTGTTGACAGATGCATCTCAGCAACCAACGAAACCTTTCCATACTTCCTTAACCGTATTTAAAAACCTAATGTTGAATAACCTATTAAACACAATCTAACAAACTAAATTAACCTACTAAACCTAACCTAAAATAATACTTAGGTTAGGCATTTTTTTTGGTTCATCTTTTATTCTTTTATTTTTTGTAATGCAAACCATTGGAGTTCTTTTGGTGATCTTAATGCAAGTCAGTTTGTAAGTGAAGTTGACATACTGGTAACTAAACCAGTTTGTGAAGAAACATTCAAGGAGATTAAGAGGTTTTACTGTAGCTATATACTGTAACTGGTGTTTGATGTGTTAAGTTTCTATGTAGGTACTGTATAATAATTGGATGTGAATTTGTTTTCCTATGTAAATAAATATTATCTAGAAATAGTTTATAGTGAAAGGAATGATATTTATTCTCCAACCTTCCTTAGTCCATCACAATGTGAGAAGAGAAACCATTGACTTAACACATCATTTATAAGCAGTTTTACTTATATATGAAGTTCACCTAATGACTAATGCTCTCTGTTCTTCCAGATCATGTAGTTCTTCACAAATGGAGAGAAGAAAGGAATAATTTTACACTTATCATGCAAGCATGATATAGTATCTGCTATAATGGGGGATACTGGAGTGAACGGACTCTTAGATATGATAGACAATAATGGTGTTAATGGTGAGGTGGTTGTTGTTGTGGAGGGGATGGAAATGGAAGATGAAGCTGTTATGGTTTACACATCAGAAACTGGAACTACCGTTTACAGAAATTTCTCTTGTCAAACAGATTTTACAACACATATTGGAGCGAGTATCCCTGTTCTCTTCTGTGGATTGTTTTCTCCATCTTGTGATGCTGAAACACAATGTGACATTCCTCCTCTGAAAGTGAATGTTTCTGTTTGTACATATGGTAGTAAAAAGGTTAATTCAGCAATAAGATGTGCAACTGAGAAAATAAGAAAATATCCCCTTGCTAGTCCTGTTGAACCCAAAGAGTCTGTCAAGGAAAAAACTGATCTTCAGCAACAAACTATTGAGGAAGTGATACGTAAGGTGCCAGCCGTTGATGGTAATGATAGCGACATTTCATTGTTTAACAGTGACACTGATACGTGTATATTGTTTAACAGTGACACTGATATAAAGGAGATGGCTGAATGTGCTGCTGCAGTTTCTACACAATGTGAGTGTTGTCATTGTTTGAAAGATTGTGCCTATACAACACTGTATTGTATTGATTTCCTAAATCTGTGTTTGTACAGGAACAAATATTTTTTCAAAAACTTTCTGAATCTAGGAATACTTTTTGGTTTTCCATGGCAATTTTAGTTAATTTTCATAATTCTGTTTGTTATTACTGTAAAATATATTTTGTTGTCACTTTGTACCATTTGGAATGTGTAAGACAGTGTATGTAAAATATTACTACCGGTACTTGTTTTTCCAACCCTTGCCTGTCAACTTCTGCACTCGTGTTGTGCCACTCTTACAATACCTTCCTTGTCATGTGGTTTCCATATCCTTTTAACCATTGCACACATGTTGGAGTAAAGGCTATAGAAAGATAGTGCAGATACAGCTGGCCCTTATTTGAGGAATGTTGATCTCATTATTAGGGTCATTATTTTGTGTTATTTTATAGAATTATTTCTCATTGTTAAGTTGAACTACATATACTGTACAGTTATTATATAGTATACCAGTATATATATTATATATATATATATAGAGCATATATATATTTTTTGTTTTTTCAATTTCAGATACACAACATTCACATCTGAAACAAAGAAAACAGAAGAAGCCACGCAAAGATGATGATTTTAATTGGGGAATTGATACTGGCTCTTGTGGTGAAGCAAAAAAGAAGCCAAGAAAGAGAACAAAGAAGCCAAAGGCTGACGAAAATTTTAATGGTGTAATATTTGACCCCAGAAAAGGTAGCAGTAAAAAAAAGGACATTCGTGAAACATGTGATAAAAATTCCCCCACTGAAAATTTTGACCGGGCTCTCGTACCTTTTAAATATAGAGAGAAGACGGGTAAGAACAGTGAGCTGGGAACACGAGATGTAATAGTTAGTAAGGAGGAGGACCAGACAGAAGAATGTTATAGTGATTGGATTACTGATGATGAAGTTGATGATGATGAAAGTGATTCTGGAAAACCTGCGTTTAATCAAGGTAACCGCACGTGTTCACATTGTACGTTGACATTTAACTCGCCCTTGTTACTTCTAGAACATTTAGAAGGTAATCATGCAGCCCATGTTTGTAGTATATGTGGGTTTACAACTACACTTAAGCATAGATTAAAAAGGCATATAGTGAAACATTCAAAGGAAAGAGCATTTGTGTGTGATATTTGTGGTAAGCAGTACTCTCACAAGCAATATTTAAGGGGACATATTTCTCGTGCACATAGTGATTATGACCATGGGAACAGATACCCATTTAACTGTCGGCATTGCAAAAGACTTTATCACAGTGAGGCAAACTTGATCAGACATCAAAAACAAGAAAGTGGCCCCTGTGAAGTTTGTGGAGTTATGTTAAAATGCAGTGGTCTTTTGTGGCATCATAAGAGGGACCATTTTTCTCAGTGTGAGATATGCAAAAAAGGATTTCAGTCTAGGAATACATTACTCTTGCATAAAAGTACAACGCATAAAAAAAAAACTATTCAGTGTCCAATCTGCCCAAAGAAATTTGCCTTTCAATCTTATTTGAATACTCACCTTGCAAATGCCCATAAAGAGGGTTCCCTGCAATATAAATGTCCTGATTGTAGTTTTTGTACTAGATCAAAGTCTTACCTAACATCTCATCAGAGTAGAATGCATAAGCGTCCACTGAAATTCTACTCTTGTGGCTTCTGTAAAAAAGATTTTAGGAGCAATTCTCGTCTAGTAGAACATACACGTATTCACACAGGTGAGAGACCTTTTTCATGTCCTGTGTGCTGCAAAACATTTTATTCTCAGAGTAACCTCTATGCACATGAAAGGTCTGTTCATAACAGACTAACAAATTATGGCTCAAGAGATGCAGAAAGTCGACAAGACGCAGCCACGATGCGTCGTAAGATTTCAAGTTGTTACGAATGTCATCTTTGCGATTCAACATTTCCAACACTCAAGAAACTCAAGTATCATTTATTTAGAGATCACAAAATAGATGATGATGCACAAAAGGGGGACAATGTCGAACAGGAACGAGTGGTAGAAATGAATGAAGCTGGGATGGTGCCGGTACAAATGGAAGCAAATACCAAAGATCTCTTGCCTGAAGACTTTGAACCAACCGTAAAGGAAAATGACACACTATATGCCATTCCTCCAAGTGATGAGGGAGTTGTGAGTAGGGTAACCTTACCCATGCCAGCTTATGTTGTACCTCCAAATGTTAACTTTGTAGAGATTGATGGTGTTCAGTACCATGTTGTAAGAAGTAATCAGTGAAATGTTATAGGCACTTTTTTTACCATTACTGTGAATATTGATTTAGCTACTCTTCTTTTTAACTGATTCAAGAAATATGTTTTAGAAGTAGCTATTCTTTTTTAAATAATACCTGTGGCTATACTGCATTATGAGAGAGACTTAATGACAGTTTTGCCCTTTTTAAAAAGGAAATCCACCTTCTGCTGTTGATATCTCATGTATTGTCCTTTAAGGTTCTTTTCAATCATCACCCATAGTATCAGTCTGACTATGTATACAGTACAGTATTGATTTTATTAATTACAGTACCTACAGTATACAGGGAAGTGTTTTTCCAATTTATTCCTTTATTCTCTTACTGGTTGTGTAAGATTTCAGCATTATATTTACCAGGGAATTTATTTAAAGTTGTCAGCATCTTCAGTGAACTCATTTAAAGAGTAGAATTGGTGAAAATTATTTTTGTAAATAATTTTGATCTTCAGGTTTTGACACTGTGTTCCGAAGTTCAGCGTAATGTGTTGTCTAATGGTAAACCCTGCTGCCATATGGCATCACAAAAATTGTGACCAAGTCCCAGGTTGCTGATCTGACTTTCTGCCTCATTTACACACAATTGTAGGGTCTCAATTGTTTCTCTTACATGACAACACAACATACATAAAGCATTTCTCACTATTGATTTTTTTTCATTCTTGTATTTCATTGTATTTATTATTATTATTATCACTGTTGTTATTATTATTATTATTATTACCATTAATATTTTATTTTACTTTTTATTTTAAATTTTATTTACTATGAATTATTATTATTATTATTACATTTTCTCCCCCAGGCCCCTAAGTGGGTCAGTGACCTGTTCCCGGGTGGGCTAATCCCTGTAAAAAAAAAAAATAAATAAATTTCGTTGATTTTCCTATTAACACTTGGATTTAGAGAGATGCTTTCTAGTGAGATGCTCGGGATCTGGCTGGTCACTAACCTCACCACACTTGACTGCACCACACGAGATAATTGCTCTTCATTTTTTTATTTTATAATTTTATATTATACAGGTATTTTCTTTATTTCTAAGCCATCCCCAGTTTTTTTGTCCCTTCCCACTGGAAAGTCCCCAGTGAGTTAAGCTGTCGCTAAACGGAATTTTGACCTAGCAAGGGATACATGTACAGTACAGTACAGTGGTTGGTATCCTAACCCAGGTATGAGTATTGTAGTAATGTAAGTCTTTCCATTTACTGTACACCAAGAATTGTAAATCATAATGCTGAAATGTCAGCATGAAGAGACTTAATTAATGTCAACTTTCATGTTTTAAGGTTAAAACAATTATTGTTTATATAATTTGATGTTTCTTATTAAGGAATTATTTTTTATGGCAGTCTTGGTAGAAATAGAAAGATAGAAACAATGTTCATTGCAAATATGATTAATGTTACAAGTCATGAAAAATAAAACACTTAAAAATACATTACTTGTTATGAAATTAAAGATATTCAGGTATACATTCACTCCAGAAAGTATCTGCAAGGTTGGGTCTGATGAATTTCAAAATGAACACTGCACTTCTCTCGTCTAGGTACGGTTGTCAAAGTCTTTCATTCGATTTGTCATGTTGTTTAGCCCAAAAAAGTTTCAGTTACATTTAGTAGCATGTGTCCATGTAGGAGAACAAAATTGAACTTATAAACCATTTAATTACATTTGTAAACTTTCATGATGATTTTATGGTATAAATTTATTAATATTATTATTATTATTATTATTATTATTATTATTATTATTATCATAAGGCGTTTTAAGAAGCACGGAATAGCTAACGCATTAGCTTTCCCGGACTGTCATTAAAAAATATGACACTGTACTGCGTCTTGGGAATTACTGTTGTACAACACAATCTTCAGAAAACATTAAAATTCGGAGAACTATTATTTGGACACTATATGGAAAGAAATAGTCAAGAAAATATGTAAATCGGCCCGTTGTAAAGGTTGGTGGTCCGGACTCCGGGGTGGGATCTTTAAACCACACACTCATCTCGCTGCTACATTGTTTACAGCTGTCCGCATACATAAACCGCAATATGACGAATTACAGGTTCTTTATGTATTAATTTTTGCAATTACAGAACTGTAATAAACTTTTTGCCCTTATTTAAAGTATCTTATGAGTAATGATATTAAATTTTTAATCATATTTGAGTAATTATCAATATTTTTACACCAAAGTCACCAACGGCTAATGAAATCGGACAGTGCCTACGTAAAATGGGCGGAGCCTAAACAGGTTTCAACTAGGCGCAAACCTTTTCAATTCTTTCATGCCTTACGCTTTGTTTTAGGTCCTATCCAATATACTACTGTATATAGAATTACAGTATTTTTATTATTATATCACAGTTTTTTAGTGCCTTAATACCTCCAACTCTTAAATATTAATCAAAATATTCTCGATGAGCGGCCATGATCCGCGTTGTTTTCACCGGGAGAAATCGCTGATTGGTTGTTAGCTATTTGTGCCGCTTGGGCCCTTTGAAAGGCTAACGCTTCCTTGAGGTTGTTAGCTCAAGTTTCATGCGCACAAATCAAAAGCAGTGTCTGCGCATGCAGAATAGCTATTCCGTGCATCGAAAATACCTTACAATAACCGCCTTTAATCATCATCATTCATCAATATCATCTTTCATCATTATCATCATCATTCATCATCGTCAAGGTGCATGCTTAAGTGAGTGTCTGGAGCCAAGCTACTAGGGAGTTGGTGTGGGGGGTACTGCCACTAATCACTGAACTAGTGAGTCATGTTGACAAAGAAAATTGAGAAGCTTATTAAGGTGTGAGTAGTGTAAGCAGGTCTATTGGGACATGTGACAGTCCTTATGAATGGCATGCAATTTAAAGAAATGGCTACTCATGTGAGGGATGTCAAGTGGCCTCATATGAAGGATGTCACAGTTTAAGGGTTGGTACTTTAGTCTCTTCCCTTTGGCAGATTTCATTTAATTATTGTTCATATTTCAGGAGGACCCAAGTCATAATTTCTGATACAAAGTTGGTACAGTACAAAACTAAGTTATAACTTTATAATCCAAATTGTTCAGTTTTTTATTTCTGAAAGTAAAAAATACGTATATGGCTCCATTAATTTTGAGGCCTCGGAGTAAAGAGGTCAGCTTTTAAATCAGTAATAGTTGACATCTGTGTTTATACTGGGATTTAGGGTGCACAGACTCTGACTACTGTTTATTTCCTACAATTAGTTAACTATTCTTTCATAGTGGAATCCCACCTTATACCAACACAAAATGTCTTCAATACTTGTTATCAGTAACTTATTATTGTCACGTCCAGTACTGTACAGTATCTGGTGTTAGGATTGAGTTCATAACTGAAGTTTGTCATGTAATGTACAGTATGTAGTCCCATTCAGAGGTGATAGATTTTTTGTAGAATGCCATGGGTAAGAAAAGAATAGTAATTACTCTACTATATTTTTTCTCTATGTTTGGTTAAGATAAAGAGTACGGTACTGTATATGCAACTTATCCTATAATTATGAAGGACTACAATACCTGTTGAGAAATACATAAATTTTTTTTTTTATCTTATGAATCCTATTTTCAATGTAATACAAATACTTAATCTAAGGAAACCTAATTTTGAAAGTGCTAATCATCACTGATTTTGGTGTCAAATTTTCCCCCTCAAATAATCAAGACAAAGCATATGTCAACCTTCATTTGTTGTAGATTGACAATGTATTAGTGCACACATCAAACATCTCTTTCCCTCTTCACCACTGGTATGCTTGCTAGCTGTTTGGGTGTTCAGTCATTTATCCATTATGCACTATTGGTATTTACTGGGCATACACAGGTTCTTGAATGTATTACATGTACAGTACATACACCAGTGTTGGTCAAGTCTTGTTTAATATAAGCTCACACTTGCTGCTGGCACAACATTACCTGGCAGGTTACTCTTAAGAGTTCACAACTCTTACTTCAAATAATTTAGCCCTGACAGTTTTCTGTTCCTGTGGTGTCTTTAATGTGAAACTGTGACCTTAAGTGAGATGGGCATATGCTAACTCCAGATGTCCTTTGAGGTGTTTATTAATCACCCCTTGAAGGCATACTAAACTCTCTTAATTTATGAGCTGCTCAATTGCATGCACTAGTTTGGTGGAACTCTTTTTGATGTTTAGATTATCTCGGGGACCAAACCAAAATTACAGTACTGTACAGTACAGTACGGTACTGCAAGTTGAGAAACACCAAGGCAATGAAGAGCTGTTTGAGGGACGGACCATCAAGGTATGAGTATGATCTTTGCCAAAGCCAGTTATCCGTATAAACACCCAGGACTTTTTTTTTCGTATAGTTTCAATTCAATTTCTTCATCAAAGTTTCCCCACCACTGACTTAAACTTTTCTTCATTTGTTGGCTTATTACAAGTTGCTTGTTGGAAACATCTTTGTTTTGTGCAGCTAGCAACTTCTTTGTATGCACAGGCCTTTGAACTTATCTAAATCAATGCATGTCTAGCCTGGGTTTTAAAGAGATTGTAAGTTGTTTTCTGACAACATTCATTGTTAATGATTTATTATTTCACCAGTTATGAGTTCACTAGGCATTCAGGTGGTTGGTGTATTCTTTATTATATGTATTGTACAGTACTGTACTTTGTTTTGAAGTTTATTGTTTAGTTTTAGTACAGGAGGGCACCAGAATATCGCGAGGAAACCTGAGATGTTTGGTGGGGTTGCAGGGGATAGTAACATCTTTTCCGTCTGTGTCCTGGGCCAGGACTTTAAATTTGAACTCAGGATACAGTGGTGATATATTTGCTCGTTACTACTGTACCACCACCTTTATACAATGACTTCAAAACTCTCAGCCAAAATAAGTTTGTTCTGATAGTATTGAGTGCTGGTAGCTTCTTTTGCTTGAGATTGAGACCTCCAGTGGAGCAGTCATCTTTTAATTCCTGAAACATTGGTGTAACAATGCTGTGTAATGTGAATAACTCACTATTGTGTCCTGGGTTGAAGTACAGTAAAAGAATGGCTTGAAGAAGGTGTGGGAAGGGTGTTATCCAGTGTGACCCGACCAAAAATCACAGGTTTTCTCCTGCAATAACACTGGACAATGAAGGTCATAACAAAAGGCAGACCAGCTGCCCAAATGGATAGTAAGTTAATAATTGGTGAAACGATAAAATAAAGGAGGCAAAGATGGGAATATACATGGATTACTTATTTAAGCTGACAATATTGGATGGATGTGAAGCATTTGGGATTCTGGATGCAAGATGAATGAGTGAGTAGAAAACAGTGGAAATTGTGTGCTTGAGAATAAAATGTGGTGTAAAGAGGATACTAGTTGTGATAGTGAAGGATTATAGGACTGAAGGCCTACCAGAGTTTACATAAGTGATGATTCACTGAGAGAATGAGAAGCCTTTCTGATTCCCAAAGAGGAAAAGAGTGAGTGTTGGGGAACAGGAATAACAGACGGTTATGCTCTAAATATAAAAGGCCAGGAGGATGAAAGGGGCATGTAGGGCTCAGAAGGGCCCTTGAGGCCACCTTAAACCCCAAATATAAAGGGCCCAGGAGGGTACCATAGACCCCAAATATAAAGGGCCCAGGAGGCCACCATGTACCCCGAATATGAAGGGCCTAGGAGGGAATCATCGACCCTAAATATGAAGGGCACAGGAGGGAACCACAGACTAAATTTAAGGGCCCTGGCGTACCACAAATCTTCAGCATGGACCCTAAGTATAAAGGGCTCAGGAGGGCACTAGCCTCATCCTTATTACTTCCCTATTCAAGCCATTTGCACTTCTTCAAACTTCACCCATTTGAACTTTCCTCATTCACAGACAATTCCTCCTTCCCTAAACCGTGAAGTTTGGAGTGTGCATTGCTTATACTCTGTACTGTACAGCCATGCAGCGTTATCATTAACGGTAAAGTGCTTGTAATAATAAAAAGATAATGTTATTAATGGTAGTAGTTTATAGAGCCGTCATGTAATAAGTACATTAATGGTAGTAGTAGTCATGTGTGGCTGGCTTAAGGTGGTACACCAGCTCCATCTGTGGCTCAATATATCGTTTGTATTAGTAAACAATGTGAGTGACAGCGGTGAATCTTCCACTGAAAAACATCGAGTTTTATTAATTTTGTCACTAAAATAAGTCCCGTGGAGGTGATTTAAGGTAGAATGACGGCTATATTAAGATCAATTATTAATTAAAATGCAAGTAAGTGAAGCTATGTTCATATTTAAGGTAACACTCAGGGTCCAGTGTTAGAACAGGAACAAACCGAAGTTGTCAGTTTATATTAGCGCACCGTTCTGTCTATGGGTATTAGAATGTGTCAGTTTATAGTATCACACTGGTCTTTATTTCGATATTAAAAATAGGTTTTTCCTATGTATTTTGATGAGCTTAGAACGAATTTTATATTAATTTCCACCGGAAATCAGGTGTTTTTTTCAGATCCTCCCCCCACCCCCCGTGCCCAACAATCATAATGGAAAAAGTTGGATTTATTTATTAGAATAAATAATTATATTACCTACCAACCGAGAAGACCTAACCTAACCTAATCCTAACCTAACCTAATCTTAACTTAACCGAACCTAACCTAACCCAACCCAACCCATTTTTCATGCCCCAGGGGCTTAAAGAGTGAAGACGGAGACCTGGAGCGATGCATGAGCAGGGGGTCATACCACCTCTGCCATAAGTAAACATATGGCAATATTTGTGACTGAGCGAAAGTAATAATCATGAAAAATTAATATCTCGTTTATCCTTAATTTCGGGTGGAAAAATTATAGAAGAAAAATGCCCATAAGAGCCCGCACCGATAGCTATAAGAATAGGACCATCCCATCTTTTTTTTTTTTTTTTTTAATTTATTGGGCACTCCCCTACAGCCTTGTGCAAGGTGAAGCGCAGAAGCGTTTACAGTGCTCAACAGGGAAGCATGCTAAGTTCATGCTTGCCTTTATGTCTCATGAGTTAAGGGCGTAGAAGCCTGAAGAGTCAAGGGCATAGAAGCCTGAAGAGTCAATGGTTTATGTCATCAAGTTATTGGAAGCTCCAACAACTTGTCCCTGAATACGAATTCGCAACTTTCGATTTACACCAGGTACCTACTTTACTGCTAGGTGAACAGGGACTAATGGGGGCTAGGAAGTATGTCCAAACAACTTCCACCGGCCCGGGAATCGAACCCGTGACATCTCACTTGCGAAGGCAAGAGCGGTACCACTCTACCACCAGCACTCCCCATCCCATCTATTGTTAAAATAATAAACAACTCCTGATTTATGTACTGTACAGCCCTGTAAATATATTCAATGCATATTATATCATTATGTCTAAATCAAATGTAAGTCTGTATATTTTCAGCCACCAGCTGCAACTCTATTAATAAACAGTTTATTATTATTATTATTATTATTAATATTATTATTATTATTATTATTATTATTATTATTATTATTATTATTATTCTTAATACAGAAATAAAGACCGGTGTGATGCTATAAATTCACAAAAAAAAATATTCCAAGTGGACAACCATGGATTTTTTTCCTTTGCAATTAATATTTTAAACAAATCTAAGAATTTTCTTTATGACGTTTCTCTTGCAAATGACCTAAAAATAACCTAACCTAACCTCATAACCGAGGGGTCCCCCCTTGGGCCCCTGGTATATATGGGTCTGCCCATATCGTCTCCAACCCGTTTCGTCACCACTATTTTTAATCCATTTCAGAACTACTGCTTTACTCGTTTCGTCAACGCGTTCATTCCCATCAATATATACACAATTATTTAAGACGTTTTAGATTTTTTCCCACTTTTTTATTTTTTGATAACAAAGACGACGGTATATAAATAAAGTCTTTGCCAGATTTTTGGGTAATATTATAAGACATTGTGCCACATTAACAAGTAACTTAAGACAAAAATTCTATAGAAGTTAACTTCTTTCCTCAAATATATCCCAAAACAGATGGAAGAAATGCAATTTTTAAAATTTTGTTTTCCCCTCCATCCACCCGAGGAAACCATATGTGTGTTTCACCTGTTGACAGATGCATCTCAGCAACCAACGAAACCTTTCCATACCTTCCTTAACCATATTTAAACACCTAATGTTGAATAACCTATTAAACACAATCTAACAAACTAAATTAACCTACTAAACCTAACCTAAAATAATAGTTCGGTTAGGCATTTCTTTTTTGGTTCATCTTTTATTCCTTTAATTTCTTAATGCAAACCATTGGAGTTCTTTTGGTGATCTTAATGCAAGTCAGTTTGTAAGTGAAGTTGACATACTGGTAACTAAACCAGTTTGTGAAGAAACATTCAAGGAGATTAAGAGGTTTTACTGTAGCTATATACTGTAACTGGTGTTTGATGTGTTAAGTTTCTATGTAGGTACTGTATAATAATTGGATGTGAATTTGTTTTCCTATGTAAATAAATATTATCTAGAAATAGTTTATAGTGAAAGGAATGATATTTATTCTCCAACCTTCCTTAGTCCATCACAATGTGAGAAGAGAAACCATTGACTTAACACATCATTTATAAGCAGTTTTACTTATATATGAAGTTCACCTAATGACTAATGCTCTCTGTTCTTCCAGATCATGTAGTTCTTCACAAATGGAGAGAAGAAAGGAATAATTTTACACTTATCATGCAAGCATGATATAGTATCTGCTATAATGGGGGATACTGGAGTGAATGGACTCTTAGATATGATAGACAATAATGGTGTTAATGGTGAGGTGGTTGTTGTTGTGGAGGGGATGGAAATTGAAGATGAAGCTGTTATGGTTCACACAGAAACTGGAACTACCGTTTACAGAAATTTCTCTTGTCAAACAGATTTTACAACACATATTGGAGCGAGTATCCCTGTTCTCTTCTGTGGATTGTTTTCTCCATCTTGTGATGCTGAAACACAATGTGACATTCCTCCTCTGAAAGTGAATGTTTCTGTTTGTACATATGGTAGTAAAAAGGTTGATTCAGCAATAAGATGTGCAACTGAGAAAATAAGAAAATATCCCCTTGCTAGTCCTGTTGAACCCAAAGAGTCTGTCAAGGAAAAAACTGATCTTCAGCAACAAACTATTGAGGAAGTGATACGTAAGGTGCCAGCCGTTGATGGTAATGATAGCGACATTTCATTGTTTAACAGTGACACTGATACGTGTATATTGTTTAACAGTGACACTGATATAAAGGAGATGGCTGAATGTGCTGCTGCAGTTTCTACACAATGTGAGTGTTGTCATTGTTTGAAAGATTGTGCCTATACAACACTGTATTGTATTGATTTCCTAAATCTGTGTTTGTACAGGAACAAATATTTTTTAATAAACTTTCTGAATCTAGGAATACTTTTTGTTTTTTCATGGCAATTTTAGTTAATTATCATAATTCTGTTTGTTATTACTGTAAAATATATTTTGTTGTCACTTTGTACCATTTGGAATGTGTAAGACAGTGTATGTAAAATATTACTACCGGTACTTGTTTTTCCAACCCTTGCCTGTCAACTTCTGCACTCGTGTTGTGCCACTCTTACAATACCTTCCTTGTCATGTGGTTTCCATATCCTTTTAACCATTGCACACATGTTGGAGTAAAGGCTATAGAAAGATAGTGCAGATACAGCTGGCCCTTATTTGAGGAATGTTGATCTCATTATTAGGGTCATTATTTTGTGTTATTTTGTAGAATTATTTCTCATTGTTAAGTTGAACTACATATACTGTACAGTTATTATATAGTATACCAGTATATATATTATATATATATAGAGCATATATATATTTGTTTTTTTTTCAATTTCAGATACACAACATTCACATCTGAAACAAAGAAAACGGAAGAAGCCACACAAAGTTGATGATTTTAATTGGGGAATTGATGCTGGCTCTTGTGATGAAGCAAAAAAGAAGCCAAGAAAGAGAACAAAGAAGCGAAAGGCTGAGGAAAAATTTACTGGTGTAGTATTTGACCCCAGAAAAGGTAGCAGTAAAAAAAAGGACATTAGTGAAACATGTGATAAAAATTCCCCCACTGAAAATTCTGACCGGGCTCTCGTACCTTTTAAATATAGAGAGAAGACAGGTAAGAACAGTGAGCTGGGAACACGAGATGTAATAGTTAGCAAGGAGGAGGACCAGACAGAAGAATGTTATAGTGATTGGATTACTGATGATGAAGTTGATGACGATGAAAGTGATTCTGGAAAACCTGCTTTTAATCAAGGTAACCGCACGTGTTCACATTGTACGTTGACATTTAACTCGCCCTTGTTACTTCTAGAACATTTAGAAGGTAATCATGCAGCCCATGTTTGTAGTATATGTGGATTTACAACTACATTTAAGCATAGATTAAAGAAGCATATGGTGAAACATTCAAAGGAAAGAGCATTTGTGTGTGATATTTGTGGTAAGCAGTACTCGCAGAAGCAATATTTAAGGGGACATATTTCTCGTGCACATAGTGATTATGACCATGGGAACAGATACCCATTTAGCTGTCAGCATTGCAAAAGACTTTATCACAGTGAGGCAAACTTGATCAGACATCAAAAACAAGAAAGTGGCCCCTGTGAAGTTTGTGGAGTTATGTTAAAATGCAGTGGTCTTTTCTGTCATCATAAGAGGGACCATTTTTCTCAGGGTGAGAATTGCAAAAAAGGATTTCAGTCTAGGAATACATTACTGTTGCATAAAAGTCCAGCACATAAAAAAAAAACTATTCAGTGTCCAATCTGCCCAAAGAAATTTGCCTTTCAATCTTATTTGAATACTCACCTTGCAAATGCCCATAAAGAGGGTTCCCTGCAATATAAATGTCCTGATTGTAGTTTTTGTACTAGATCAAAGTCTTACCTAACATCTCATCAGAGTAGAATGCATAAGCATCCACTGAAATTCTACTCTTGTGGCTTCTGTAAAAAAGATTTTAGGAGCAATTCTCGTCTCGTAGAACATACCCGTATTCACACAGGTGAGAGACCTTTTTCATGTCCTGTATGCTGCAAAACATTTTATTCTCAGAGTAATCTCTATGCACATGAAAGGTCTGTTCATAACAGACTAACAAATTATGGTTCAAGAGATACAGAAAGTCGACAAGACGCAGCCACGATGCGTCGTAAGATTTCAAGTTGTTACGAATGTCATCTTTGCGATTCAACATTTCCAACACTCAAGAAACTCAAGTATCATTTATTTAGAGATCACAAAATAGATAATGATGCAAAAAAGGGGGACAATGTCGAACAGGAACGAGTGGTAGAAATGAATGAAGCTGGGATGGTGCCGGTACAAATGGAAGCAAATACCAAAGATCTCTTGCCTGAAGACTTTGAACCAACCGTAAAGGAAAATGACACAATAAATGTCATTCCTCCAAGTGATGAGGGAGTCGTGAGTAGGGTAACCTTACCCATGCCAGCTTATGTTGTACCTCCAAATGTTAACTTTGTAGAGATTGATGGTGTTCAGTACCATGTTGTAAGAAGTAATCAGTGAAATGTTATAGGCACTTTTTTTACCATTACTGTGAATATTGATTTAGCTACTCTTCTTTTTAACTGATTCAAGAAATATGTTTTAGAAGTAGCTATTCTTTTTTAAATAAAACCTGTGGCTATACTGCATTATGAGAGAGACTTAATGACAGTTTTGCCCTTTTTAAAAAGGAAATCCACCTTCTGCTGTTGATATCTCATGTATTGTCCTTTAAGGTTCTTTTCAATCATCACCCATAGTATCAGTCTGACTATGTATACAGTACAGTATTGATTTTATTAATTACAGTACCTACAGTATACAGGTAAGTGTTTTTCCAATTTATTCCTTTATTCTCTTACTGGTTGTGTAAGATTTCAGCATTATATTTACCAGGGAATTTATTTAAAGTTGTTGGCATCTTCAGTGAACTCATTAGAATTTTATGTTGTGAATGATTTTGCCATGACGTACTATCGTGCACCAAAGTCGTGTCCACTACCCAACCACAGTGAGGATTCGAATAGCCTTGAGTCTGAAGTTTCGAAACAACTGGGGGAAATGCTATGGTCGGCCAACAGATGTCACCCACTGTAGTGTGTGTGGGGGGGGGGGATACAGGAGGTGGGGTTAGTCTAGTAACAGGCTGTGTGTAGGTGGAACATAACACTGTGAGTTCCGCAATCACTGATAACAATAAGAATGTCATGAAGATAGTTAATATTATTAAGCATGGTGAGACATGTGTAACGGGCAAATAAAAGCACTACAACGACCATATCTCTGCCGTTCATGGCTACGACGGTGAGACTGATGGGCACACCAGTAATTAATTCTCCGTGACTACCATTACTGGTAGTCACGGAGAATACACAAGTTGTTACTAAGGTTGGCGCCACCCACACCAGGGGAAGGAGATGATGTCGAACACTGGAACATGCCGAGGTCTCATTCCTACCATCGTCGTCACCAACAGGTAAGTCACATTAATTTGTCATCATAGCCCATGTCGTCCTTATACTATTGCAGGGTGTCCCATGAGTGACAGCAGATATTTGTAGAGGTGAAAGAATATGTGATGTTGAGCCACCACGTCTCTGTCTCCATCCGTTTCCCTCTATCTATAATAAAAAGTGTAACCCTACTCAGAAAAAATAATGAATGGGCCCTCCAAACAAATTAAAGATGAGGTGCACCCCACCCAAATAGGTATGGGCCCTCCATTTCCTTTTGCCTTCTTTTCTCCACATCCTTTCCTTCCTCCTATCGCCCCAGTCACCCCAACCTACCACCCACTTTTATCCTTAATATATTCCATTCTTTAAAGTATCATTGTGACCTGAGCGGCAATAAGCACCCAGGACACTGCACCTGTTCCATGAATTCGTAACCATAAAGAAACAGCTGGAAGACGAAACGTAGTTAAAAAAGCAGCTTGAAATTATGGTGGTATAAATAAACCTGCCTCTCATCCAGCCCCCACCGCCTCTATCCCCCCCCCCACACACACACACACACACTACAGTGGGCGACATCTGTTGGCCGACCCTAGCATTTCGCCCAGCTGTTTCGAAACTTCAGATTTAAGACTATTCGAAACCTCACTGTGGCTGGGTAGTGGACATGACTTTTGTGCACGATAGTACATATTAATTTTATTTAAAGAGTAGAATTGGTGTAAATTATTTTTGTAAATAATTTTGATCTTCAGGTTTTCATACTCTGTCTACATCATGGTTTTAATTTTATTATTATTAGAATGTTGTGTGATCATCATATGTATTAAGAAATAATGTACAGTATTCCTTAAGTACTGTGTCAGTATAGATATACTGTAATTGCAGTATAAAGTACAGGTACACTACAGTAATTGCCAAAATATGATGACAGTACTGTGTCCTATACAGGTACAGGTATCCCTCATTTGACGTTTGTTGTTGTGTTCAGGAAACCTAATGCTAAGCAACATTATCTCCAATTGAGGGATTACAGCAAAGTACGTACGGCAAACAACAGGATCAAAGAGCAGGGTGGTAGATATTGAGTACGGTAGAGTACTGTACTCCCTAATAATATTAATAAACTAGTTTGATATAAACTGTTTCGAAGTTAAGCGATTGATTTCCTATTAACACTCTTGGGTTTAGTGAGGTGCTCTCCGGCGAGACACATGGGGTCTGGCCCTGTCACTAACCTCACCACACTTGACTGCACCACACGAGAGATAATTGTACGTATTGAGTCATAACAAGCTTGCTATTTGAGATAAAAAGGTGGGGTTTATTGCATTAGCCTTGTAAATAAATTATCTGCAAACAGTTTTACAGTGGTCCCTCGGTTAACGAACACAATTCGTTCCAGAAGGTTGTTCGTTAACTGAAAATTTCGTTAACCGAAACCATTGTTTCAATGGGATTTTGGGTAATTGGTTCCAGCTCACGGAAAATTACATAAAGTAAAAAAAATGCAGTAAAGTACACTTACTTTGAGTTGTGTATGTAGAAGGTTCCTCGTTGATGATGATGATGATGGGAATTAGAAGTGGGGGTGGAGGAGAAGGGAGAAGAGAAGGAAGTGGGGGTGGAAGAGAAATCACCCCATGCTTGATGCCGTCATTTCACCCATAAAATTTTAAGTTCACTAGGTGTAATTCAAGATTATTTTCTGTAAATCAACACTGCACTGCACTTTATATTGTCAATATGTTAAATAAATTTTAGAATGACCAATAATTGTACTATAAAAACGTAAAAATCGTTTATGTTTAAGAGAGCCACAAGCAAGATGTTACCTCCACTGACCAGAGATGCAAACTGATGCCTTGGTGGGTGAGTGAAGTGGCTGTTGGGTGCACCAAAAACTAGTTACTTGTACTGCAATTATGTTAAATAAGTATTAAAATTACTAAAAATTTTAATATAAAACTTGGAAAATTCTTGAATAGTACAACCTTCTTGATATTTACTCCAATTTTAACGAATGTAAGCCCTAGAACCGATTTCTGTATTGGCGGACTAATCTTCCAGCTGGTGAGCAAGCCAAAGCATGTCGAAACATTTTCGTAAGAATTTCGTTAACCAAATTTTTGTTCGGTAACCGAATTGAATATTTTTATGGAAGTTAATTCATTAACCGAAATTTCATTAACCGAGGCGTTCGCTAACCGAGGAACCACTGTATATACAAATAGTTTTATATAGGTAATCACAATAAAATTATTAAATCTATACGTAAGTACAAGTACTGTATAACACAAATTGTAGTGCATGGCTGCCAATCAAGCTCCCAAATGTGAATATTCCTTGCTCAAATTTCTATATCTTTTACATAAATCATACATGATGTGTTTATAAATGCATAATATTTCTTAAATTCACGTGAAATAATAATTGTAAATAATTGGTTAAATGTAATGCATAGAGATATGTATTACATATTTTTTTTATGAAAATAAATGAATTTCTGTACTTACATGTTGTTACTGTAGTGTAGATGGTGGAGAACTTGGTGATGTTCCTTTTCCATGCCTCACAGTGCCCTACGTAGCCTGAACAAGGCGACATAATCTAGTTTAGTGGGTTTACGGGTAGTGCCACTTTGAGGGAGATGAGCGGCTACGAGGTAAGCCACGCTGCGATGACTGAGGAATCACATGTACAACACTTTTTATTTTTCCTTTTAGCTACAGTGACATGCTGGGCAGTTGTTTTTACACTAGGACTGCTTGTTGAATGGTCAGATAAACTATCACTTGCACTAGAAGGGCCAGGGACACTGGGAGAGGCCTCAGGAGGCACCACACTATCACCATGTGGTACAATCTCCTTTTACTTTTTACATTTTCCCACCCCTCCGCCCTCGCCAGCAACACGAAGCATGGTTCAAAACTATCACAACACTGTTATCAATAAATAAAGTCATTGTGATGTACAAGAAATCAGCACAAGCCATGAGAAAATGGTGGGAAATGTAGGTCAAAGTTACGTCCTCTGCCGTTGAACCACAAAGGGCGACTGGTGTGGTCACGTAACCTTGGAGGTAGTCTACATAGATGCCACATCACACCGACATTACCAAATATGTGTCTTGCGTATGTAGCTTCCATATACAAACAAAATTATTTTATCGTAATTTTTTTAGTTCATACACAAATTTGCGTATGAAAACACTTAAGAGTGTTAACACCAAACTTCAGGGCAAGCCTAATTTGAATAAGTTTCATATTGCATATGTCAAAAATTAAGAAGAATTGCCATGATAAACACAAAAATTTATACATAGCCCACTGATTCCACACATACACTCTATACACCCATGCTCTTCATTTTTTTTTTTTATAATTTTATATTATACAGGTATTTTCTTTATTTCTAAGCCATCCCCAGTTTTTTTGTCCCTTCCCACTGGAAAGTCCCCAGTGAGTTAAGCTGTCGCTAAACGGAATTTTGACCTAGCAAGGGATACATGTACAGTACAGTGGTTGGTATCCTAATCCAGGTATGAGTATTGTAGTAATGTAAGTCTTTCCATTTACTGTACACCAAGAATTGTAAATCATAATGCTGAAATGTCAGCATGAAGAGACTTAATTAATGTCAACTTTCATGTTTTAAGGTTAAAAATATTATTGTTTATATAATTTGATGTTTCTTATAAAGGAATTATTTTTTATGGCAGTCTTGGTAGAAATAGAAAGATAGAAACAATGTTCATTGCAAATATGATTAATGTTACAAGTCATGAAAAATAAAACACTTAAAAATACATTACTTGTTATGAAATTAAAGATATTCAGGTATACATTCACTCCAGAAAGTATCTGCAAGGTTGGGTCTGATGAATTTCAAAATGAACACTGCACTTCTCTTGTCTCGGTACGGTTGTCAAAGTCTTTCGTCCGTTTTGTCATGTTGTTCAGCCCCCAAAAAATTTAGTTACTTTTTGTAGCATGTGTCCATGCAGGAGAACAAAATTGAAATTGTAAACCATTTAATTACATTTTAAACTTGTATGATAATTTTATGGAATAAATTTATTATTACGGTATTATTATTATTATTATTATTATTATTATTATTATTATTATTATTATTATTATTATTATTATTATCATTATTATTATCATTATCATTATCATTATCATCATCATTCATCATCATCATGATGCATTGCTTTAGTGAGTGTTTGGGGCCAAGCTACTAGAGGGGAGGGAGGAGCTGAGTGTTGGTGTGGGGGGACTGCCACTAACAGCGATGAACTGATGTTAACAAAGAAAATTGAGAAGCCTATTAAGGTGTGAGTAGTGTAAGCAGGTCTATTGGGACATGTGACAGTCCTTATGAATGGCTACTCATGTGAGGGATGTCAAGTGGCCTCATATGAAGGATGTCACAGTTTAAGGGTTGGTTACTTTAGTCTCTTCCCTTTGGCAGATTTCATTTAATTATTGTTCATATTTCAGGAGGACCCAAGTCATAATGTCTGATACAAAGTTGGTACAGTACAAAACTAAGTTATAACTTTATAATCCAAATTGTTCAGTTTTTTATTTCTGAAAGTAAAAAATACGTATATGGCTCCATTAATTTTGAGGCCTCGGAGTAAAGAGGTCAGCTTTTAAATCAGTAATAGTTGACATCTGTGTTTATACTGGGATTTAGGGTGCACAGACTCTGACTACTGTTTATTTCCTACAATTAGTTAACTATTCTTTCATAGTGGAATCCCACCTTATACCATCACAAAATGTCTTCAATACTTGTTATCAGTAACTTATTATTGTCACGTCCAGTACTGTACAGTATCTGGTTAACACAATTGCTCAAGGTACTGGATATCTGGACCCATATTCTGAAACGGGGTGGTAATACCGACAATATTTACCTAGATTTTGCCAAGGCTTTTGACAGCGTACCCCATGAAAGGCTGAAAATCAAACTGGAAGGGTACGGAATTCGGGGAAATGTCCTAGCATGGATAGAAGACTTTCTACATGACCGCAAGCAGTGTGTGGTGATTAATGGCACGAAATCGTCATCCGTACCTGTCACAAGTGGGGAGTGTATTGGGCCCGCTGTTGTTTGTTTGTTTCATAAATGACATGCCTGACGTTGTACACTCCTCCATACAAATGTTTGCCGATGACGCTAAATTATTTCGGGAAATTAAGAACCAAGCTGACTGTGAAGAGCTGCAGAAGGACCTCTGTGGGCTCCAGGAATGGTCGAAGGAATGGCTGCTGAGATTCAATGTCACGAAGTGTAAGAGGATGCACCTGGGGCGTACCAACGGTAAGGAGGCGTATCATATGTCCGAATGGGATGAAGAAACTGCACTACTTGAGACTGTATGTGAGAAGGACCTAGGTGTGTATGTTGACAATGAGCTGAAGTTATCGGGCCATTGCGAGAAGAAGGTAAATCAGGCAAATAAATTATTGGGTCTTATAAGAAGGTCGTTCAGATATCTAGATGGTCCGTCCCTCGTAACGATCTTCAGGAGTGAAGTGCTTCCCCATCTGGAGTACTGTCACCCCATCTGGTCCCCGAGATATGCTAGGGACTGTCAGTTGGTTGAAAATGTTCAAAGGAGGGCCACCAGACTGGTGCCTGCACTTTCGCACCTCAGCTACCCTGAGAGATTGGAGAGCCTGAACTTGCCTAGCTTATACTACAGACGGGCAAGGGGGGACCTAGTTGAGGTGTATAAGCATCTCAAGAGGGTACTACTCAGTTGAGTGTCCTTCCTTGGAGCTGGCGGACGCTCGCCCCACAAGGGGTCACAGCTCGAGATTGAAGAAGCCGCAAGTCCAGAAAACTGTGAGGGCAAACTTTTTCAGAGTGAGGGTTGTAAACTGTTGGAACAATCTACCAGAGAGTGTTGTGACGGCACCGAGTGTGAGCTCTTTCAAGACAAGACTTGACCAACACTGGAGCGGGTTCAGGTAGATTCAGTTAGATTGAGGAGCCGGTGCATGCTCAGTATGCCAACAGTGCGTAACAGAGACGCGACCGTTCGGCCAAGCGGCTAACGAGCCGATCTTTTGGTGAAGAGGATACAAGAAAAGGAACAGTAATCAGAGACGTGACCGATCATCCAAGCGGCTAATGAGCCGATCAGTGGTGTAGAGGATAAAATTAAACGTAAGATGA